CCTTAAGGGAACCCCAGGTAATTAATAAAGCCCCGACTATACATCCTTATAGTAGCCCTTAAAGACCCCTTTCAAAGGAACCTTTAAAAGGCCCTTCTTCTACTTATAAAGAAAGTCTAACGCCCTAAACCCTAAACCCTAAACGCCTTCCTAACAAATCCCGCCTGGGCAGCTCTAGTGCGCAGCCCCCATTGATGACAATCGAGGGCGGCAGATCCTAAACGGGTTTCGGGTCAGGAGTTTAGCGTTTAGGCCCCTAGATAGTATAGAACCCTACCATAGATCCCTTCTAGACCCGTTTAAAGGAAACCGACGGGGTCGAAGAAGTTGAGATGGGAGGCCTGCATATGGGAGTTTCCGAAAATAGGGGTACCTTATTTGGGGGTCCTTATAATCAGGATCCTACTATTTAGGGCACTATATTAGGGTCCCCTATTTTGGCAAAACTCCCATATGAGGCTTGAGAGTTTAGGGCTTAGGGGGGCCATTAGAAGTCCATATTAAATATGAGGATTTCAGAATAGTGAGGGCTTGAGGTTTGGGCGTCTAGGATGTTCAGTAGTAGGATGTTTTGGGTGTATCAAGGCTGAAGGACGAGGATTTAGGACGGAACGTCACGGGTCTGCATTGGAGCTGTATAGCATGCGAGGTTCAACTTGCTTCCCCGAAAGACCTGGATACCTTGGTTTAGAGAGGCACATCAAGATGAATGGAACATGTAGGACGACAACAACATCACTGTTTGTTCTAGCCAGTGTAACCCTGATCAAAGACACGACGGACGGCGAAGCCGCCGCATCGTCCTCCTACCCGAGCTGATTGAACGTTCGGGTTAGATAGTTCGGAGGCCGCGAAAAAAACAGAATTCACTGCAAATCCGCCCGACTCCGCTGAGTTCAAGGACGGATGTTTTGCATGTCAGGAGTTGCATACAGAGCCAAGGTACGGGACCAATTTAAACTTTAGAGGTGCGTCGTCGTAATTAGGGTGTAGATCAGGGTATGCTGCCGAAGAACCATGCCCAGCTGCCAGAGACATGGGAGCACCACCTTCTCTCGACTCTCGCGAGTTTTTCGATGTGCTTCGACACTAAGATGAGGGGATGCAACATGTTCATGTTGTACTGCGAGCAGCGGCTGCTGATGCTACCGCCACTCCAACGTGATGACAACAATGATACTGAAGAAGGCGAGAATTATTGTCTTCGGGTTTGAGCTTCTGGGACAGGAGGGTTCACTTTCGGGGGTTTCACAGGCCTGTGAGAATCGAGGGTTGAGGATCGTGGCCTTAAAGATTGCTAACAAAACCTACACACCCCATGAACCCAACGTGCTGAGCTCTAAGACCCTGCTCGCTTAAAAAAAGTAACTCCGAAGCCCTAAACTCGTAAATTCGAAGACCCGTATAGAAGCTTTAGAGGAACCCCGAAAGGAGAAGGAACCCTAAAGAAGATTTAGTGTGGAGTAGGCTTTAGCCATCGACGGCATTGTTGTCTGGCCTGGCCACCACGAGATCCGAAGATGAGACCTGGGTGTTAGGGCTTAGGGGTTTAGGGGTCTTACGTAGGTTTAGCATTGAGGGTTTAGGGCTTAGGGGCTAAGGATTCGGTATTTATGACTTCGGGTTATTAGGGTTTAAGGCTTTTCGGGTTTAGGGTTTCGGATAGGGTTTTCAAGGTGGAACCTTTGTGCGCGCCAGAAGCGGCTTGTGTAGGAAAGGTGCAACCTGTCGCAGCCCTACGCCCACTTGAGGCGGAAGGCGCCCAACCCACGAACAGCTGAACCTCAACTTGAGCCTTCCAGGGACGCGGCAATCAAAATCGGCAATTTGTCCGTTGACTGACATGTCCTCCACACGGGGCAGCATCAGCAACGACGACAACAACAACCACAAGAACAACAACGACAACCACGACAACAGCAACAGCAACATCAGCGGCAGCAGCAGCAAGAAGAAGAAGAAGAACAACAACAACAGCAGCAGCAGCAGCAGAAACAGCAACGACAGCAACCACAGCACCAACAGCAAACCGCTAACAGCAACCACAAACCACGACGAAACCTGACTACTTCTGCTAATATCAGCCGCCACATAATTACTAATGACTGGTTGAAAACTACTTACTAGCAGCTTCTTACTTGCTACTTAGAACTTCTTGCTCGGTGATACTCCTTCTCCTGATCCTCCTCCTCCTCTCCCTCCGCCTCCTACTACTCTTCCTGCTGCTGCTGCAGCTACTACGACGACTACCTATGCTTGTCAGCTAGCGTATCTTAGCCAGCACCAGCAGGACTCAACCTGCGGGTGCTGATAGTACAACGACGTCAACAACATACGAGACGATGGCTGCAGCACTCTGTTTTGTGTTCGTCATGATCATACTGAATTGTGAGTTCGTCATGATCATACTGTATATAAGGGTCACAGGCTTAAGTATAACCATAGTATTAAACATGACCCAACCTGCTGTTCAACAGCTTCACATGCACCCGAATGTCAGCTCTCATGCTGCAGAACCCGAAGCTGCATAGCACATCAGAAAAACGGTCGCATGGACCCCTTTGCACAAACCCTGTAGGCCGCCTCTGTCAGCGCTAGCTCTGAGACCCTACTTGGAGGATCATGGGACTTAGTAAGCAAGGTATTATAAGTACCTATAAGTTAAAAAGTTACCACAGAAAAACCTTACTTACGAAGTCCCAGGATCCTCCAAGTAGCAACGGGATACTTAAAGGATCCCTAGACCCGGACACAAACATGCCCACCCTGTCCTGCGCAAAGCTGGCCTGGGCGGTGAGTTGGGCTTGACATTGCCGTAAAAGGATGTACATAAGTTATACGAGCAAGCAAGACTATGAATCCCTTCCAACTTAAACAAGTGTTTAAGCAAAAGACAAGCGCCAAACTCTAATCCCTGAACACGAAAACTCGAACCTGACCCCGCAGGTAAGTGGAAGTTCTACCTATCATACTGGGCTAAAGACTTGCACCGAAGAGACTCCATTACCCTAGCCTGAACAACCTGTAAGCCTACAACCTCCTTAGAGCCGGCCTAACGCCCATCAATCAACACCCCATAAGAATCCCTAACACAGGAGGTTTTCGGGTATATCCTACGCAAGCGTATGTATTTAGGCCCCTATACTACAATCCCGTCAACATCCTGTACAACCTCTGTAGAGCCCGGCCCAATCCGACATCGAAACAACATAATCGCAACACCACAAAAACAAACACCTCAAACAACCATGCAAACCCTCCAACATAGGACCCTGACAATGAAACCCTTAAGACGCACGAAACAACCCAAGTAGGACCTGAAACCCTAACCCCTACCTAACAACAACATAGCTGTAAAGACCGATGACCCTCGATCCTTTCTTGCACCCTTCTAGAAATCCTAAACCCCTAAACCGTAAGCCGTAAAGTACAAAAAAAAAAAAAACCTTTATAGAACCCTTCTGGAACCCTACACCCCCATTAAACAAACACAGTACAAAAAGTCCAAAATAATCCCTCGATAGAACCCTTCTAGAACTCACCCCCCTCCCCTATAATAATCCCAATAGAGAAGCCTTCTTGAAGTCCCCTCCTCCCCTCTGAGGCTTCAGGCAAGGTTGGGAGCTTGCTTCCCCTCGGGCCACTCAGGCGGATACGAGTCGTAGGCCATCCTCTTGAGTCGTGTTCTGGTATTTTGTAGAGCTTTACAGAGTTCGGAATCTGCTAGGGCTTTCCGGGTTATCTAGAGTTTCTACTTCACCGGAATCTGTATTGCTACTAGTGTCTTAATTGTGTAAATGCAGTTTCATGTTTACAGGCTTTCGTCAGCTTTAAAGTTGTGGGACGTAAGGGCTTGGGGTTTTGTCAGGGCTTCAAAGTACAGGTTTTGGGATTTCGGGCAGTCCTGTGCTAGAACTTCGGCTAGGGAAGGGGCCAGGGCTTGTTGGGTTTTGCACGCGTTTTAGCCTTCGTCCTCTGGTTTACGCTTTGCGGGGTTTCGGGTTCAAGGATTGGTCTTCAGGCTTCGGGTTGACAGTTGATGATGTCGTATATAGGGTGATGGCTAAGGCCAAAAAAGGGGTTATGGGGTTGCAGGGCCTTTACAGGGGATGGCGGCGGGCGGTTCTTTCGGTTCAGGGTTTAAGGCTCGCGGAAACGGTTTGGGGTTGAGGGTTTAAACGGTGCCTAGTTTCGACAACGAGGATTCCCAAATGATTTCAGCGTGTAATGTACAACACACCATGTGTCCACCCATGCCGAAACGACTCCGGGAATGCTGCGTGTAGTTTCGAATATACGGTTCAGGGGTTGAGGGTTCAGGGTTTGAGGATTTAAGGGTGCAATTAGGGGTTTAGTTTATGGGTATGCAGTTCATGTTCATGGTTTGGGGTTGAGGGTATCGGGTCTAGGCTTAAGGGTCTAGGGAACCCCCAAATCCTACAGTTAGTTGCAATGGAGGATTTCCCAGAGTTCGGCAGCTGCGACTCCCAAGTGAGGACATGCAATGACGTCTTCGAGAATTGAACCTGAACCCAAGAACCCTAAACCTCTCAACCTTCCATTTCCGCTGAAGCTCTGAACTGAACCCCACCGAAACGCTATGCCTAACCTCCTCAAGCCGACAGAAGCCGAAGCCCTAAACCTTTGTTGGATCATTTGGCCGTGGCAGCCGTGCCTGAAGCTGCAACAACCGAAAGCCGAAAGCATAAAGTGCTCGCATTTGTTGGGAACTATGCCTCCCGGCCTTGTAGGTTGTCTGACAATGGGGCTCCTACTATGCAAAGTTTCGACCACTTTCGGAGAGCCCCAAGTTTACATCGTCCTGCAATGTAGGTTCTGTTGAGGAGCCCTTGCCTGCAGCTCTTTCATGTCGGAGCTAACCTTTATCAATGTATTTGATCTTCATTTTATGCGCCAGGTGGATAGATGGACCAGCTGGGATTTTCTCGGCACTTCCGAAACTTCTTTCACGATCGAGCTACAGGCACACATGACTGGAACTATCTGCCTGAGCGCCAGGACCAGCATGTGAGCCGGTAGCGCATCCTCTGCAACCATAAGGGGAAATGGAGAATAACAGCTGCTACCACCCGTGTCATCATCCAAAGTAGACCGTGGCAGAAAACAAGCCCGCATCCGTAGCAGCACCACTGGAGACAGGTCTCGTTATCGACGTCTGGAGTACAGTCAAGCATCTCGTGCGTGAGTTCGAGGCTTCCTTCCCGGCGCCGGCGCTCTTTGGCCGCCACGAGCACCTGCAAACCCTGCACCCCGATTGGGTTGCCATCTAGGGCAAGCACCTCCAGCGTTCTGTTGGTCTCCAGCGCGGCTCCAAGTGCCAAGGCCCCCGAGTTCCCAACACGACACGTAGCCAATATCAGGCGTTTGAGGCAACGGTTGGTGCGAAGTGCCTTCGAGAAAGCCACGGCGCCTTCATCCTTCACGGTGTTCCAGCTCAAATTCAGCTCCTCCACCGAGAAGTTTGCAGCAAGGCTTCCGGCCACAAGAGCAGCCGCGGTAGGACTCAGGCCGCACGCCACCAGCGACAGAACTTGGAGAGGCGACTCGCCGCACTCGAGGCCATCGGCGAGCGCATGGACCGCATCCTGGGACAAGGGCACAAAGTCCAGGTTCAGCTTACGCAGCGCGGTCTTGGACATCAACTGGAGCAGAAGCTCATGGCTGTCACGAGGGCGGAGGTAAGTCCTGAACAGAGAAAAGGTACACAGGCATGTGTAGGATGGCACCAGTTCCAACAGTGCGGAGATCTCCCGAGGAGTCCCAAGGTCTCCAAATGCCACATCCTTGGTCAGCATTTTGTCTGCAAAAACACGCCGCTGCAGCTCGCTCAGAGGTTCCAGGTCTGCCCTGTGTGTGAATTTCAGGCTCTGAAGCCTCCGGCGGAAGGCTTCCGGCGTCATGGGTGGCTTTGCTTCTGGAACGGAGGCGACAAATAGGCATGCGAGGCAGAATTGCTTGAGAAATTGGCAGGAAATGGGTAAGCTCAGCAGCAAGAGCTGGAGAAAACTTGGGTGTGAGATATCGATCGAGACTGGTTGTGACCACTCGACCTCTGCAGCGCACCATCCGCGCCTGCAATATGGCGTCGTGTTACGCAAGACATCCTGTAGTGGGACCTCAGCAATGCCCCCTGAAAGCGCATGGAAAACGCGGACCTTACAGCCCTTCCAGCTTTGCCACCACCAAGTTCTGCGTGGCGTCAGGCGCTCGATGCGCCAGACTTGTAAGCGGAATTGTTCACCTGAGTTGGCATTGGCATAGAACAAATGCATCGCAGTCATGGCGCGGCGGAATGACTCGTCCTGGCCTGGCTCAGGGCAGGGCCTGGTTCAACCCAACAATGGCATGAGACCAGAGCAACTGCTAAAAAGGGAACACAAACCTTCTTCCGGAGCCTGTTGATATGCCGACATGAGACTGATGCGGGGGCAATTGGATCAGGATCTCGGGCTGTATTTCGTGTCGGTGTAATACACTCATTATAGTTTTCAGAGGCACAAGACGGTCACCTGACTACGAATTATTCCGACCCCTGTAGTACAGTGAAAGTCTCTTGTACGAGAATATCAAGTTTGCGAGAACCCTCGGTATGAGAACCCTGGTCCGAACCTCAATCGAGATTCACATGTCACCCAGAACAGAAACCTTGCGGTACCCAACCAGTCCGAGTCAAACTCTCATCTTGGGATGATTTAGTTAGTTGTGGCCTTGCTTGCAATGCAAAACTATAGGGATGACGACCACTACTGCTCTGGTAACTGCGACTGCTCCTGCTCCTCCTACCCCTCCAACTCCTCCTACTCCGCGTAATACTCTCAGTCCTCCTACTCCTCCTAGTCCTCCTACTCCTCCTACTCCTTCTCCTACTCCCACTCCTACTCCCACTCCTACACGTACACCTACACCTACACGTACTACTATAGTTCTACTACTACTACTACTACTACTACTACTACTACTACTACTACTACTACTACTACTACTACTACTATCTACTACTACTACTACTACTACTACTACTACTACTACTACTACTACTACTACTACTACTACTACGACTACGACTACGACTACGACCACGACCACGACCACGACCACGACTACGACTACGACTACGACTACGACTACTACTTCTACTACTGCTACTACTACTACTACTACTACTGCTACTGCTACTGCTCCTACTACTACTACTACTACTACTACTACTACTACTACTACTACTACTACTACTACTCTACTACTGCTACTACTACTACTACTACTGCTACTGCTACTGCTCCTACTACTACTACTACTACTACTACTACTACTACTACTACTGCTACTGCTACTGCTACTGCTACTGCTACTGCTACTGCTACTGCTACTGCTACTGCGACTGCGACTGCGACTGCGACTGCGACTGCGACGGCGACGGCGACTGCGACTGCGACTGCTGCTGCTGCTGCTGCTGCTGCTACTGCTACTACTACTACTACTACTACTACTACTACTACTACTACTACTACTACTACTACCGACTACGACTACGACTACGACTACGACCACGACTACTACTACCAGTAGTGCTGGTGCTAGTGCCAGCGCCGGTGCGGGTGCCAATGCCAGTGCTGTTGCTGCTGCTGCTGCTGCTGCTGCTGTGCTGCTGCTGTGCTGCTGCTGCTGTTGCTGTTGCTGCTGCTGGTGCTGTTGCTGTTGCTGTTGCTGTTGCTGTTGCTGTTGCTGTTGCTGTTGCTGTTGCTGTTGCTGTTGCTGCTGGCTCCTGCTCTGGCTCCTGCTCCTGACTGCTCCTGCTCCTGCTCCTGCTCCTGCTACTGCTACTGCTACTGCTACTGCTACTGCTACTGCTACTGCTACTGCTACTGCTACTGCTACTGCTACTGCTACTGCTACTGCTACTACTACTGCTGCTAGTGCTACTATGCCCACGACTTCACAAACGTATGTGTGTATATATATATATATACATGTACGCATATATATATATATATATATGCGTACATGTGTATATATATATATACATATATATATATATATATATATATATATATATATATATATACATACATATACATACATACATACATAAATACATACATACATACATACACACATACACACATGCATGCAGGCATGCATGCATGCAGGCATCCATACACAGTTACGTTCCATGCATCCGTCCATCCATCCATCCATGTGCGTGCATGCATGCATGCACATATACATACATATATTTATATATACACACATACACATAATATGCACATAGATATATAGATCTTGCCTGATTGACCATCTTGTCCTGACTAGTATGACAGTACGACTATTATTACTCGTATGTTGTTACATTAGATATTGTTCATGATATTGTTGATAGCATAGCTGCTACTCTTAATATCATGGCTAAACCAGACGGGGGAAGCGGAGTGGGTAAAGCCAAACCCTAAAAACTCCCGGAACCCGGCGGTCGCCCGTTGGGAGGGGTGGCTGGACGGAGGGCAGGGGGATGCGAGGAAACCTGAGCCCTACACCGACCGACAGCCTTGTTCTGCACGAGTGCTGACCCGGCCGAGGCGGGTACGCATAGCAATTTTAAGCTAAGAACATTTATTCTGGCCTATGTTGACCAGGCTCGAAGAGGCCCGGTTGAAGTTGGCGAGCTTAGGACTTAGGAAAACCTACCGTGGCCGAACCGGGCTCCTATGCATCGTTTCCCCTGTAGTCCCTCGTCTCAAAGACACGGATCCTGTACAGGTTGAATTGCTGTTTTCATACTCCTGCCTTGATCCTCGCGCTTGTACTGGTATAAGCACACAAAGTCAATGAAGAAGAAGACGTCCGTCCTAGAAAAGTCTATATGGAACGTTCTGAAGATTGGTTGTAATGCCATATCCAGATCAATGCGGCGAACGATCTGCTTCAGTTGAAAGCCACACGGGTCGGGATGTTCCATGGATTCCCAGGAATGGGAGATTGTCACCACGCGGAAGTTGTCTTCCTCCGTGGGCTTGAAAAGTGCCCCTGGCTCTTTTTCGGCCTCCTGGCGCCGAGGGAAGATTCGCCCTTGCGCGAGCAGCTCTCGGAGGTACTGGGGCCGGACCAACTTAATGTCCGCCTCGATGATGTAGCGGCGGAAGTCTTCGAAAGAGTACAGGCTGTAGTGCGGTTCTGTGTTGGGGGGCAGCTCCTGACAGCCAATACACGTTAGCAGGGAAACTCTTGCTAGAGCCGAGAATTCCAACCCTACTGTCCCCTTACCCACATTACCAAAGCCTCACGAAGCCCACGACACTCAAGCCCCTAGCCGCGATCCTGACTTGCAGTGGCCGGACGTGCCAGAAGCAGCTCTGCCAAGCTACCAGGCGCCGTTGGCATGGCCATGCCAAGGTCTGCAGCTGTTGTTCTATCGTTCAGAGTTTAAGCGAAATAGGACAAGGTGTTCAGCTGTGCTTCGAGTGCTGGTCATGGTGGCTGACCTACTGCACCAAGGATGTACCAATGTGCTCTGCAGAAGCAGCTTCGACACGAGAGGCTGTAGGCAGATGCGAGCAGAATTTCAAGCTTTGCTGGACACGCACACCAATAACGCGCCGAAGTCTTCCTCTCTCATAACCCACATGTGAAACATGTCGAGGCCAATGAGGGCCCTCGGCCTAGGAACTCCCAAACCCCCAAACCCCAGAGGCATGGGTTTTCAGCTTCGCGTGTTGTTCTGTGGCAAGTCTACGCAGGGCGCCGAACTGCATCTGCAAACTTAGCGCAGTTGTCTGGTCTTGCATACTAGCTGCATCTGCGAAAGTGCTGCCAGAATCACAAGCGCGACAACAAGACGAGGAGAAACAACTACCGTCCCAACGACAAGGAGGCTAATCTGTTCAACGCGCTGGAACGGTACACTCGAGTCTGGGACGAGAACACCACCTTACTGCAGGGGCCTTAATAACTAGAATAGGGTTTTGCGCCCCTTCATGGTATACTTATAACAAGGAATCCTAAGGAATAATATTGGTCAATATTCAGGCTTCTACCGTAGCCCTGCATGAAAATGACGACAGAGCCCTCATGGCGGTCCCGGAGCGACCGAAGACCTTCACCGTGAACATGGAGTCTTGCTTCAGCTTCCAGTAGGACTGGCAGGGAAAGGGTTTAGGGTTTGGGGGCGTAGGGGCTCATAGGGTTTAGGGTTCAGGATTTAGGGGTTTAGGGTGTAGGGTTTCGGGGACTTGTTTGGGAGTTGGACTTTATGAGTGGGGACTTGGGGTCTTCAATAACCGATGGAGTCTGCTTCAGGGCTTCGAAGTCTCCTGGTTTGGTCTGACGTTCAGGGCTTAGGGTCCCGGCTCGGGACACTCATAGAGCTTCGGACAGGTAGGCATCCTGTCATCGGAAGTCGTCAGGGGTCCAGTTTGGAGACCCCATGGGGGTTTAGGGTTAATGGTCTTGAGGTTCTAACATTCCCTGGAACTGCCTAATTGCGAGATTGCATCTGCCAGATCCTCAAACCTTGGGCCAGCGACGCTCCCGAACTTGTCGCATTTGCAAATAAGACGGAACCTATCATCCTAGAAGGGAGTTCCAAGACTTCTCTGATACCCCACAGTGCAAGGGCTCCTGGCGTGGATTCAGGACCCTCGCCAGGAGATACCTTATCTGGGAATGAGCCCTAAACCCCAGACCCGAAATTGGGAATGAGGGCTTTAGAGCCTTTCGGGCTTTAAGGTTGAAGGCGAAATGCTTAGGGTTCTAGGGCTAAGTGAACCCGAGCCCGGAATGCCCAAAGCTTTGGGGTCTTAAATCTTAAAGCAGCATAAATGGCTTTTCTCATCTTCAAGCCGTGTAAAAACCCTATGCGGCATCTTTACTATATAAGTCAACCCCATTTCTAAACGCTTGCACTTCAGAAGGACACCTCGCCATTGTGGCCAATGCCAGCGCCCGGTCCGACGATCAGCACATTCACCTGAAAAGCTCGTGCCCTGAACCCTGAAGCCTGTAAAAGGGTACATTAATACCCTTACCCCTGAACCCTACTTGGAGGCCGTGTTGACTTAGTAAGTCTACTTAGTATCCCCCAGAAACCCTATTATAATCCCCATAACCCACCTTACTAACCCTACTTACTAAGTCAAAAGGGCCTCCAAGTAGAGCCCCAGAAGCCCCAAAGTATCAGGCATCACGGTTTCTAAGCTTTGCCCCCAAGCCTCGATAAGTTCAGTTGCGGATTCCTGGTGTTTACCAAAGTTCAGTTTTCAACTCCCGGGAAGTTAGCCGGGGTTTAGGGTGTAGGGTTTAGGGTTTTGGGTTTAGGGTTTAAGGTTTTGGGTTTAGAGTTGCTCGAGTTCGGTGTTGCTCGTTGGTGCCTCTGCTCCAGGCATGATCGGCCGCTACTACGAAGTTTCCGGCCGATCACAGCATTGCAAAGCCCGAATCATGTTACGCATGCGGTAATAAACGATGATCTCGACTCAAGTATAATGTCTTGACACTCCGCTCAGAACCTGGTGTCTCTGGCACATCCCCGAGCCTAAACTATTGGTCGAAAGCATGTGCTGGCAGACTCGGTAATCTCGGGACAGTCTGCACAGGGTGCATTCAGGACTCACATTGTATGGCGATGTACAAACGCAGTAAGTTTACGTGAGCCAAAGACTATACTAAATGGGCACACGGGCCCTTCGGGTTACCACCACCTCAAACTGGCAATGGTGGAGGGCGCCGCACAAAAGCATGTTTGCGGAACCTCGTGCCTAGCTACTTCATTAAAGGACGGTGCCGGCAACGGACCATGGTCCAATCTACGTGAGCCCCTTGGCGAACACTTCCGGGTAGCAAGGGTTTCCAGGTCTCAGGGATCTATACAACTGGGTTTGCACGTCCCAGGCCTTTGCCAGGTTGGTGGGCACCACCCGGGCGGACTGGGACAGATTCCTGGCATGTGCTGTGTTGGGGTCAAGAGCTCAATACCTAAAAAACTAACAGTAAATAACATCGGTGGTTAGTGATAAGTAGGGCCACTACTTCTAGAAGCAATATAGGCACCATGATTGGAGTTCTGTGAGCTGAAGCTAAAGGGATAGTTACCTGTGATTGCACTTGCTTGAAACCCACAGATCTACCGGCTTTGCAACCTGTCCAGAACTCTCGAGAAACTTGTGCCACACAGTTTTGTGCAGATGCCTTGACATCCATTCACCGTATAGTGATCCGCTGACTGGGGTTCGCTGTATCTTTGCAAAGCGGCTCGGATCCTTTGAAGCATTTGACGTGGCGTTGCATGGTGTGCTCGGAAGTCTATAGCGTCGTATTCGAGCAAAGGGGCCAATGCTGCAGCCGGAACTGCACAGCCCTGTCCCCAGAACCTGCACAAATAACGGCAACGAAGATGCCAACATCAAAATACGCTAGCAAAAGACTACCACCCGACACTAGACACCGCCGGAACGTCTAGACTGTAGCGACACTGCTGCTCTACCGGTGGGTACTTTGTTTCTTACGAGTAAGGCGGACAATCCGAAGACAATCGCACCCGGTCCCACCACGCACCACCCGGCTACAGCTCCCGGCTACAGCTCCAAGCTTACACTCAGGTATAAACTCGGATAGCCCTGGAACAAGCTCATCCTTTCAAACACCCTAAACCCTATAAAACCCTAAACCCTAAAGCCCTAAACCCTTCTTAGATGCGCTCTCGAATCCCAGGAGCACACGAAACGGCGGTCCTCGAAGTGCTCTTCACGCTTCGCGAGTTCATGGTCCTGTGCGAAGCTGCTTTCCATGAGGCTTGGATTCAGGGTTTTAGGGTTTAGGGGGGATTGATCATACTTGTCGATCTAACCAAGACTGCGTCTTGCCCATGCAAAGAACATGTGCAAAGAAGTTGCGGTGACATGAGGTGCGAGGCAAAAGTACCTGCGGACCCAAAAGAGCAAGGATCAAGGATCTACGCAACGAGATACGGGAACCGTGACATCAAAACCTTGGTTCCCGAGAGGGAGGCTTTGGAACCCAGATCTGGATAAAGGAGGACAGAACAAACTATTATGCAAACAGAATCACATAATCAATGTGCTTGAAACACCTCATACTCTCCGCAAGCAGGCTACCCAAAGAAAATAACTGCAAGGCCTTGCATAACCCTCCGTTCGTTGAGATGCACTTCCTTCCGTGCAAAACAGTAGGTTCTGTTTCGTACCGTCTTCTTCATGTACTGGCCCTTGAAGCCTGCGCTGCCCTACGCCCAAACACAACAATCCAATCAAAACTGATAAAAGCCAGCACGCTGCCGCCCAAAAATCCCGAACCCTGAAAACCCTTTTCCAAGTTTCAATCCAAAACCCTAAACCTTGAGACCCTAAACCCTAAACACCAAAAACGACAAGTCCCTTCAACACCCAGATCCCGTTGCAGGAGGGTCCTCAGCCCCTGGATCCGGTATGGTCCATCTTGTGGATCCAAGCCTCATATTAAGCCCTATTAAGGCCATATTAAGCCCTTATGAAGGCCATATTAAGCCCTTATTATGGCCATATTAAGCCCTTCTTGAAGCCATATTGGTTTAGGGGTTCGACTTTTCGGGAGGCATATTTTTTTGATGCAGTGGCCTTTCTCCGTTTTGCATGCAGGTCCAGTGCCCGCCTCCTTGAGGCATCCAGTTTCTAGGGTGTTATTATCGGATGATACAGGTCCGGTACTTACATCCGGTGGGGTTGCGGGATGGTGTTTACGAAGGTCATCATTGCTGTTTAGAATCCCAAAGGATCCATGTACCCAACTAGTATATACTTTAACACCTAGCACTCAAAAACCGAGGCCTAACACAGGAAGGATGGGACCGGGAATCTACAAACCTCCCAGACCCCCAGGTACTGCTCCAGAAAATCGAAGCATGTAATTAAACAAAAAAACACCCGATCCTTCAACATCAACCCCCCGTGCCGGGTATCAGATGCAAGCAAGGCGCCAAAGGGATTGGATACATCGCCTTCAGGCCGGCTGCGACAAGAGGAACATGCGCATAGGGTTTAGGGTTTATAGGGGCGGTGGCGGCTGCGCTCAAGCATCTGCTCAAATAAGACCCGAACCGGTCTGTGAAGTGTTGAAGTTACACGCCGATGTAGCCGGTTGCAAATAATCCGTTCTGGTCTTGACACCCCGTCTCAACGTTTCCATCGATACCGTCAAAGAGGCCATCACCATCATCACTGATCGCGGCAGCATCCAGCAACACGGGTAAACGATGTAGCGAAAAACTCGCAAGTTTGATGCCGACAGCGTCAGCACCGTCAGCACCCCGACGACAATGACGACGCCGAGGACGTGACGACGACTACCACATACTACCACCAACCCCAACAGCACCACCCCCACGACAGCAACACCAAGCACAACCACTGCTACCAATAACACAGCTACAATAGCAGTAGAAGCAGCATGGGAGCAGCAGGAGGAGCAGAAGCAGCAGGAGGAGGCAGTAGTAGCAGGAGCAGCAGCAGCAGCAGGAACAGGGGCTAGCCGTAGCCGTGGCCACAGCCGGAGCGGTAGCAGTAGACTAGTCGCAGTAGCAGTATAGTAACTTAGTATGTAGTCGCTGAACTTGTCTTGGTCTAAAATCTAAATACACCCAAAATACGGACACAACAGGCTCGGGCTCCAGGCCGTACCGCAGCAGTGTCTGGGCATCCACATGGGGCGTCCGCTCGTCAAGGACGAAGCTCGGACCTGAGGAAAATGTGCATCCAATATACACTTTTATCTAGTTGTATATATATATATATGTATACACAGATACATACATAAATACATACATACACACACACACACACACTTAAAAATGGTCATATGGTGATATATTATCACACACACACACACCGATCGTCTACATGTACATATATATATATATATATATATATATACATACATACATATACATCTCCCTTTGTATGCTCCCAGGCAGAGGTGATGTTTTCAAGGCTAGTTTAAGTGGAGCTGGATCCGCAACGTCGCCTGGCCGACTAGAAGCATGGCTCCATGGGCGCCATGAATCATGCATGATGCATCCAAGTCCTGTTTGGGTATCAAAAGGGTCGGGCAAAAGTTGCAAAGTGACGCACGAATCGTCAAGGTAGGAATGCCAAGCTACACAGCTGATCATGACTCAATCACGTCCGAACTGTACAAGTGGGACAAATTGCAGACTCTGCAGCATCTGTGCGCTCTGTACAAGTTGAGCCTGCTCAGGCTTTGCCGAACCTAGACACACGAACCTGGCATGCAATTGCCGTTTATGCAGCTGCCAGGAATCGACGTCTGCCCATCTGGGCACATCATGGGCATGGTGTTGCACGAAAAACACTTGTCTTGGCAAGACGAGCCGATACACTGTCCTCCCACACAAGTCTGGCAGGAGTCGCACAATACGCACTGAATTTCGCATGTTGTGCCGAGGCACTCGCCGAAGCCATTGCAAGTTTGGCAGGGGTCGCACATTGAACACCGCGCCTTGCAGGGGGCGCCCACACACATGCCATCGACACAATTCTGGCAAAAGTCACACTGCGGAAAGCACTCTCGAGGCTCCGGATGTGGGCCCCAATGAGGCTTCCAGTGGTCCTCGTCCTCGTCCTCATGGTGCTCCCCATGGTCCTCGCGGTGATCTTCGTGCTCGTGGTGCTCATGATGCTCCCAGTGCTCATCCTGCTCCTCCTCGTGGTGCCCGTGCTCCCGGCGCCGACGGCCGTCCCAAAGGCGACGCTCATCCCCCCAGGAGGCGGAGGACTCCTTGCCTCGGAGGGAGGAACGGCGCACTGCCTCGGAGTCGGCAGCGACTCCGCAAAGAAAGGCGACAAGCAGCAACGTGAACATAGCTCCGTCTGAAGTGATCGAACTTATCTCTACCACGTAAAGGCGAAAAGAGCTGCGACTTGTCGGAGACAACTTCTGAACGGCAGGGGGTAAGGCAGCCGCACTCTAGAGCAAGCAAAGCACCCGCACTGCAACAGTGAATCAGATCTCTGATAATGCAGGAACCTGATTAAGGAACCCTGAGCCTCTAACCCCCAAAATAGTAGGATTCATCTTTATAAGGAGCCCTAATAAAGGCGCAACTCAGGGTTCTAACCCAAGCCCAACAGACGAAGGCTATCAGTCCGATCCCCTGAACGATAAGCCATAGCCATCTAGTCCCCAAGGGTCCCCAATCCCTGAATGCTTATCCTACGCTACAGCCGATAATCTGATCCATCCCTATCAGGCAGCTCAAAATCGTGAAGCCGTCGGGTCCCTAAACCCCTACACCCTAAACTGGACTTTGAAGTAATCAGGGAGAACAAAAGTATAGACTTTTATTTCACAATGGTTCCTTTCAGGAACAGGTACCAAAAAAAGTATTCAAGTATGGTACTCCAAACCCAGGACTATGTAAACCCTAAGCCTCTAAACCCCAATTCAGGTCGCGGGGTCCCCTGCTTTGGCCACCGGCGTAGGCCAGGTGGCGGTGGCCCATAGGAGGAGACCGCTGGTCCGGCATGAAGCCTAAAAATAAGGCTGCTTTAAAGGGTTCTTATTAAAAGGGGTATGTAAGGGATCTATAATAACTCCTTTAAAAGGGTTCCTCTGCAGGGTTCTTATTGTAACGGGGTCTATAAGGGATCTACAATAGGGCTCCTTTAAAGGGTTCCTTTATAGGGTGTTTATAAAGGGGTCTAGAAGGGATCTATAGTGGGGCTCCTTTAACGGGTTTCTTCAAAGGTTCTTATCTTTACGGGATCTGTAATAGGGCTGCTTTAGAGGGTGCCTCTGTAGGGTTCTTATAGAAGGCTCTTTTAAAGGGTTTCTTCGAAGGTTCTTATCTTTACGGGATCTATGATAGGGCTACTTCTTATAAAGAGGTCGAAAAAGATCTTTGATAGGGCTCCTTTTAAAGGGTTCCTTCAAATGTTCTTCTAAAGGGGTCGAACTATAATAGCCTCAACAGTAGGGTTTTGGGGTGCATTATAATTCAAGTGTAACACGGAAGCCTAGGGACGACTATAAGTATCAGAAGGTGGCACTAATACAGTAGCAATTATTCAGGCCCCTGTTTTGATATCCTACGTCGAACGTAAGTACTCACGACTTGCAACTACGACATGTCGGACAAGGCTTGATTGACAAAAGCCGTCAGATGTGTGGAGACAACCGATACCACCCATAATGAGACCGCATTAACCCCCTAATTAAGCCCCAAGCCCTAAACCCTAGACCCCAAACCCTAAACCCGAAACCCTAAAACCCTAACCCTAAACCCTAAGCCCTAAGCCCTAAAAAGGCCAGGCCTCGAGGCATATTCAGGATCCCTCTCTGGTTTCTTTGTGTTCTTGAAGAGCTGAAAGAACGCGGTTTAGGGTTTAGGGCTTTCCAAAGGGTCCCCGTAAACCGTAACCCCCGAACTCGCAGAATCAATAGACGGGGTCGTGGGAGGTTCAGACGATAACTACGTATGTTCAGGAACCCTGGCCGTAGGTCATCAGCCAGCCCTCGAATAAAATGGATATTTGGTTAATCATTCAAGTCTCTGGGCGGTCTTCCAGCCGAAGGCCGCAGGTCCTGAACCCTGAATCTTGTTCCTTACTGGGTGCCCAAAAGGTGCGGTTCCCGCTCTTGACATTCAGACTCTTGACGCTGACCAGCAAACACATTCACAAAATAAATGTGCCACATCGGACCTAGCCATAAAACAAACCAGCGCTGAGGGCGGATCGAACTGACAAGGACATGGCTGCGGAGGGAAGGCAGAGCTTGTGAAGTACAGTAGGATGTTCTGAGATATCCTACCACAGTGGTGGCCTGCATAAACGGTGGTACTGCATTTCAATCCCGACAAAATAATTTAAGTTTGAAGACATTGCAGAACTGAGCACGACATTTACGGTTTAGGGTAGCGTGATCATTGTCTGTCTTTACAAGTGCCGAGCAACTAAGCTCAGAAGTCGATGCTTGCTGGGACTGTGATAGCATCTGCATGGGAGGTCATGTCGTATAGTTCTTGCCAGCACATGTACAGAAATTGCAAGCCATGGGAAAAGCTAGGAAACAGCAGATGCTTGCATGACATGTCGAAACCTGAACCATGTTGTATCCAATATGCCGCTTTCAGTCGCTGGGTGGCTGCAGCCAGGAAAGCGCCACAGGTTCCCTTTAAAGAAGTCCTTAAGGGCCCTAGAACGGATCTACAGTAGGGTTCTATAATATCGGGCCATAATCTCCTTACAGCAAGGGCGCAGAAGCCGGCTCCTGCCCAGCACCAAACCCTGGAAGATGCCTCGAAGGTCAACAACCTACTTGTCGGTTTAGGGTTTTAGGGTTTTGGGTTTAGGGTTTTAGTGTTCAGGGATAATGGGGAACTAAAGGTTAACCTTTTTGGTTATATGGGGATTATATAGGGACTATACTACCCAAGAAAGGTTAAAGGTTACCTACTCGACTACTAGGACAAAAAACACAACAAACAAGCACCGCATGCAAAAAGACGACACACTGCATCGACCACTAAGATGCTTCTTCAAGCTGGCAGAAAGGGTTGCCGGACGGCTGGCAATGAGGCGGCACGGGAAAACTTGGAAGGACAACATTTGGCTGACTTCTGAAGCATCCAAAAACCTCCTTGTTATGATTCATATAGAAAGATGCTCTCGCTCTGTAGGTCATCCTCTTCCTCACAGTTTTTTTTTAAGTCTGTGCTCTGGTGATCGCTCCGAGGACTCGACTTTGCGGCATCATCCATTGGAGGATGAAGTCCATGCCATTCGTTTGAAATACAACAAACTACAGATCACAGACAGAATGTAAGGAACAGTTCCGGCACAAGTGCAGAAAATTGGTTTGGGATAACGTACAATAGCACAATAGCAGCATGAGTGTTACTGGTAGCTGCAAAATGCTAGTTCATGATTTCCAAAAGCAGGCTCGTAACGAGTCCAGCCCGACCAGGGTTGGATAGAAGCGCGTGACCGCCTGTTGTTGCTGTTCTATTCTAAACGACAAATCTTTCGCTGCAAGGCAGCGGTCCTCTGTTCGACTCAAACAGAAGCCGTTTTTGCAGGCGTGCCAAAACCTGTGTCTTGAAAACATTTGTTTTGTCTTGGTCGTGGTTGTGTTTGTTATCCCGAGAAGCAAAAGCCATTAGTGCGCTTATAAAATGCCCGTGTTGCTCTTCTACGTCCTTTTTGGTCAAGCTCTCATGATAAATGAGACACGTCTTGCACACGTTCAAAACTCCTGCCTCGTTGTCGTCTTACATTCCGTCTTGCTTATTGCTGTTATCGTGTCCTAAGACGAAAAATGTAAACATATCTGGTGCTTGGTTTTTCAGTGTTGTTCTGGTTTCCTTGTTAGGGCAAACCAGCTACACTTTTGCAGAAGGCAAAACCCTCGTATTTCTTTTGCTCCTGTCGTGCATCTTGTTGGTGGTTGCGTGCTACGACTCCGAATTTCTGCACTGGCTAGGTGTGCGGCTGCACTGCTTTCTCACAACCTCGCTGCAAGCTCATGACGATGACATCCCTAGCAACATCACGCGTCTGATTACGACTCGCGAAAGTGAATAGGGAGATGAGGTGTGACATCTGCCACGACCAAAGAAGGATGCTAGTTGGATACGCTGGTTTCACACAACACTCAAAAATCGCATGCACAATGCCCGATTGCAGCATGTGCCCGGATGCGGCGATGCGAACAACAATGTCACTTGAACCTGCTGGTTTCGAAACACCATTGGAGAAATGGTACGGCGACTTAGCTGACCATGGGTATGTCTACATGTCCAACACAGGTGTCCAGGCGACTTGTCGCCGTGTTCATCTGGGGACGTCCGAAGCTCGGCACTGCTGCAGTCGTATGTGTTCGACTTCTCTGAGTAATTTCCAGCCGAGCCTTGCCGATGCTGCATTGAGTGCGGTCCCGACGGTTTGAAACCGTAAGCTCGAAGATTACGTTTTAAACATCAGCAAGCTCTGTTCTTCTGCAAAATCCGCTTAACAAAAAAAACTCTTGTCTGCTTTTTACATAACACACCCTTGATTTATGTGTTTCCTTCTCGCTGTCTTCCTTCTTCCTCACTCGTTAAGCTTCGTGTCAGATTTTGTATCTACGCCCAAACACACACGTTTTCGCGTGATGTCCTTTATCCTACATCAACCTCGCGAAGACGATGCTGGTATCTGCAACTTTTGCACTCCGCCAATTACCCAAAAAGGTAAAGTCCTAAGAGCCAACCAGAAGAACACTAAGAACAATTCATGGCAATGTTTTGTGGTGCTTTGGGGTAATCGAGGCTTTACGCCAGGCGTCGGGAGCCAGAGCCCAGAAACCTGAGCACGAAACCCTCTGAGACTCTGCTGCGAAATCCAAGCCCTTAACCCTAGAAGCTCAAGTCTTTGCCCCCTGAAACCTAAAACCTTAACAAACCAGTGGTTATTGGGGTTTCCTTGGCTCTTTCGCGCCTTATCTACTAGGGAATATCATCATCCCTGGCTCCTTAGCGCCCCCAATATCAATGGTTATAGGTTCCTTTAAAGGGCTCCTAAAAGGGATCTATATAGGGTTTAGGGTTTAGGGGTTACTTAAAGGATCATGGTTAGTTAAAGTCAAAAACACAGCGTTGGCGAGATCCGCGCAAAGCGAGTTGCACACGGCCGCCACGGAGAGCAGCGACGCAGAAGCGGTGTGCCAAGCCTTTTCGGCTCAGAATTTCGGCCTTAAAAGAGCTTCCAAGACCCCTGAATTAAGGAATACAGCTTTAACGAACCATGTTAAATCATAGCATCAGGCCCCTTGTGCTTCATGATCTAGGGCTTATTTCTTCATTTCAAGCCCTATAAATCCGA